CCCCGAGTTTATTCTAAACTCAATGAATATTTGCTCATTTGCATTCAAGCTTTACAAGGTTTATTTTTAATTTGATCATATGGTGTAAGTAAGTCATAAACAACATTTTAGCGGTCTAATTGTTTTGAAAATCGAAAGGTATATAATGCAATCCGGGAAAAATTCGTTCTACCATGGCTTCATTTACATTTATAATCAACATGGCGGTAGTTGTTGATGTAGACGTTTTCAAATTAATTTTTCGCGAAAGGAATATTATTACGGACTTAACATTACAATCTGGAGTAAGAAATCAACTTTGAATTGTTGAAAGATATTGCAAATACTATGCAACTCTTCGCCGCACTTCAAACACCGTCTGTTTACATGTGAATGACCAGGGGCCCAAGCTAATGTCGAGTAAAAGAAAGTAGGTCATTTTTGAAATTGATTTCAGAATATCTCAAGAAATATATGGAATTTCGGAATGAGCTTTGGTAGAATTGAAGAATGTTTATCTATGAATAGATTTAAATAGAAAGTAGAATTTTAGAGCATTCGAATAAAAAATATTTTATTAGCGAAATTATGTACCCAGTGTAAGAGTTCAGTACCTTTATTTTTTTTTACACACACAATTTTTTTTAAGCGATCCAAAGGCCTGTGGTTACATATTACATGTACATCTGATGGAAGAAATTCATGTAATCTCGCCATGCATTATTCCACAAATGCATATAGTTAATGCTTTGAAGTCAACAAACTGCATTTAAATTAGTAAGCTTATACTTCCTTCGTTTATTTCTAAGCCCAAAATTTAAATTATCAAATTAACAGATGTTACATAACTCGTAAAAAGGTAAAACAAAAACATCTTTAGCTGAGCACTCTTTCTGGAAAATTAATACATGTATAACTCAGAGCAAGAACTGTATCGCGATACAAGAACACTTCATATGTATTTTCTTACAAAAAAAAAAAAAAGAAAAAATTTCTAAACAATGGACAATTTTAAATGATTACTATAGAAGGAAAAGGGCATGCTTTATATAATACATGGCAATAACGAATAGCATTCAAGCTAAACTGTCCATTCAAACAACAGAAATTTTGGAGCAGAGTAAACATGGACATTTAAAAAATCGAAGGTTGGATCAGGTGCCATGGAGGAATAAGAATCCCCTGTCGACAGGCCACACCCGCCGAGTGCTCCTTGTCATGATCAGAAAATTTTGGAAAATCCATCGACAATTCAGTGTGTACATGATACCCTAAAAATTAATATGAAAAACATCAGTAGTATTTAGATTGTATTATTTGACAAGGTCGTTGTATCGACCATAGAATTTACGAAATGATGACTCTAAACGAGACTGCTGATATTCTTGTTTCATCAACTTTTTTGTCAAATCAAATCAGTTTTTTTTAAGTTGAGTACAGTAATATGCTATGTGAATTGTCAAAAAGTATAACTAACACAAATAGATTGATCTGTTGCTTTTCACAACTCAAACGGTTAATAAGAATCACCATTAAAAACAACAATAACAACATCAAATAACCATACCAAAAAAGCAAACAAACAATTTTTAAAAACTGCTATCTCTCTTGTCCAGAAATAACTGAAAAAAAATATTAATATAAAAATAACACTAATGGCATATCTTTCTTGTCTAAAGCAACTTAAAAATGGAGGAATTTAAAATAAAAACAAAGCAAAAAGAAGTATTAATTTGGAAAAGGGGATAAATTAAGTTTGAGCATCCTTACATTATTTCATGGATACCTTCTGTTTATTGAACGTGCATGCAAATAAAGATTGTAAAAGACTTGCACCAATAGTAAATGAAGTTTCGTAGGATTAATTTTGAACATTTTAGCTGTAGTTTTCTGAATTTTTTTTCTAAACCATCTTGTAGTTTTAAGTACGCGGTGTACTATACAGTAGTTGTTGCATATACCTGTAGTTTTCTTTGCAATGTCCTTAACAAAAGATTTGATGTTATATCTTTTGCAAAATTTGAACATTTTCATGTACCAGTGCGAAAGAAATATCAAATTTTGTTATGAAAATAAGAAAACTTCAGTATATCTGTCATATTGTAATTTTGAATTTACCGAGTGGTAGTAAATACAATTACAATATGAAAACATAATGTAATTTTTGTATTTACTACCAGCCGATAAATTCAAAAATTACAATATGGCATATCTATGACATTTTGAACATTAAATAATAATTATTTGGAAAAGAAATTAATTTCAGATCATTGCAAAATTTAAATTAAGGACACGAGAGGCCATAATATTTCGCTCTAATTTCAAAAAAACTTAACAATGTAAATACACAAAAAATGGGTATTTAACTTTAAGTACACATTCATTAAATATTTCATATGAAATGTTACAAACCAAATCAAATTTTACAAAAAATAAAAAAGAAAATGATTATATAAATTTAAAGCATGAAATGTATCTGTTTAAAAGCTTTTTTCGCATAAATCAAGCAATAAGCATATACCTCAAATAATTTATTTGATATTTTTGAAAGTTAATGTGATATTGTATGTGTCCAAACTTTTATAAAATGATTTCATATTTAGGAAATCTTCAAATACCATTAAGATTTGTTCGAAAATTCTACAGATAATTTGTTATTTTATTTACAAATCATTCACATCCGTGACAAAGGAGAGAGAGGGGGGTACTTTACGTTTTATTGAATTACCGTTGTATCAGACGACCTGAGACACACGCCGTGGCGACATTGGACAGGTGTGCGGTGTTTGGGGAGAGGGCACGCGACCAGACATCACTATAAGGTGTACACAGGGTGACTGAAGTGTTGCTGCCCCCGGGGATCGACTCAAGCGCTGCTGTCCCCGGGGACTGGCTCAGATATATCAGGCTAATGTCACCACAATAACCTGATCATATTGGAAGTGCTAATGTGGACTCTGAAATATTCATACCGCAATTTACGGAATGTTTTGCAAATTGCAAAACTACCACTCGTTACTTTAGTGCCATCAGAAATTGCAATTTAATTTTGTCAAATATTTTGTTTTGATTTGATTGAATTGCTTGTTTGTTTTTATTGTTTTGGGTTTCAAAATGTGTCTGATTTTATGATTTTTTCACCAATGACAGTATTATCAAAACATTTTGTTTTAATTTCTGTGTGATATTTTTGATTTTCTTTTTTGTCCCCAAAAAGCAATTTTTGTTCTTAAGTTAAATGCTGAACATCTTGGTTTTTATTTTAATAAACAAGAGAAAATATTGTAAGTTTATATAATACTCAAATCAAGCACAAGATGATTATTTCATTTTCGTTTTTCATCGACTTATCTTATTTTTTCCTGGTCTTAGTTAATGCCCGGATAATCCTAAAGGCGGAAAGGAATTCAGAAATTAATGTTTACGAAATAAAGGTCCAAAAACAAAAAAATGAGATATATATCCTCAAGTTTTCGTTTTTGGATCTTTATTTAGTAAACATTTATTATACCGGTATATACAATGTATATCTTTACCTATGTTCTATCAAGGCATTGTTCTGATGTCACGAATGAATTTGATTCCAAGATTCTTCAAAGTTGAAGTCCCTTGATAATAATTTAATTCAGTTGTAAGTGTCAGTCTTACTCTGTGCCTTAAAACAAATGACAGTTTCACAAAGCAAGATTTCCATCAACAAAAAATATTGCGTTTTAGTCAGCCTCAAAAATTGTCTACTTAAGATAATAAACTTGCGTTCCCCCTGCACTGAGTCGTGGTATTCGTAACTACTGAATGGTCCCCCTGGAGAGAAAACGAACAACGCCATCTAGATATATTTTAGAAAAACTAGATTTTTATTGTGACTCTTGTGCAATCGTCGTGTCGTCAACTGCTATGATTAGTGTAAAAGCCGGACCCCTGGGGTACCGGGATACGGCGGATAATTTACACCTCATTGCTCGCCCTTATTGTTTTCGGTCCTCTGGTGAATTCAGCCTCATAATGTTCACAACTCTTTATTACTGTGTTCAACAAGAAGAAGGCAATCTGCAACAAAAAAGAAACATTGAAGAATGAACTCAAATGAAAAATAGCAATCTCCAAAATTAAGTTTACCAGAGCATTTATAGGGAGATTAATTCTGATTTATTTCTCTCAAATTAATCCAACACTTTAGGGATTCCAGTTTTAATTTCAACAATAATTCTTCTCCTGAAGAATTGTACACTAGGGATACCTTTGTAAGTAAACAGGTCTGACAAATTGACAAATGTTACAAGGAAATTTTGTTATAAAATACTTCAATAAAAAACCCCATAAACATTTATATAAGATTAAATTATTGATCATTTCTTAATGAAAGTTTAACATTATAAAAAGATTCTGAATATTTTATTCCAAATAAAAAAAAATCAGTGAATAAGTCATGTAAATTAATGCCGAGAATGTACTTGTATTTATTGTATGTACAGCTATACAAATGTAGGTTTAAAAGAATTTTATTTCTTTCGATTTTTTAGTATTCATATTGTAAAACCTTTTCAAAAAGTTTTATTTTTCTCAAACAATAAAAATTATTTTCAAATAAAATTTGGAAGACCTTAAAGAAAATTATACATAGAATAGAATACTTAAATAAAATAATAGAAATAAAATAATGATCTTTGATTATAAAACTAGACAGTCTATTGTCAACTGACAGAGTGCATTGAGATACCGTAGAAACTTCCCATTCTACTATATTTGATAACAGTATTGCGAATCAATCGGGCTGAAGAAGCATTGATATGAAGAGATGAAGAGAACATGTGTTTGGTAAATTATCAATGACCCTCTAACGTATCTGATTGGTCCGCAGTCTCCCTAGGATAATGCCCCGTTGGATGGAAGGCGTTCATATTTCAATCAACTTTTCAAACGCGCTATTCTGATTGGCTAAGTAGGTGTCATCGTGGAAGCTTAGGGCCTCCCGTGGGATATATTACTTTCCTTAGGGATATAGCTCCTTACACCGTACACGAGAATGCAACAAAGTTTAGACCCTCGAGATTCACGGGGCTAGCACCCGAGCGATACAGAAAACGGGGTAAATAATCCTATATCTTTTTGCAAAATAACGGTGCCAAACAATAAGATAACATTTCTCTTTTCTCTCTCATATGGGATTCGACGTAAAACAATTCTCAACATCAACGGGCGACAGAGATATATTTGATGTTTCAAATGTATTATGTTCCATCAACAAGTGTGTGAGGTCTCTTTACAAAGTTACAATGGAGTGTTAAATTTTTAGTGATTTCTAGTATTTACGAAGCTATGTTTTCTTAAGGAGATTCGGTGTTTTTTCCCTGTGTGTAATATTGTACATGTTCATTACGGCTCCCCCACCCGTGACATCCGTTAGAAGTCCCGACCCCCCATCCATGAAGGAGGAACCCGTCGCCCCTGTCCAGACCAACCCCATACGGAACTGGATGCAGCCCACGAGTCTGGACCAGGGCAAGTAAGTATACAAGCTTATTATACAATTTATTTATCACTTCACTAGTCCAAACATAGCACATACGTAAACTAACAAGTGAGGTTTACCTATCTAATGTATTCAATGGGGACCATTATCTATAACAAGAAATGTATCTGTCTGAGGGAAAATAAAAGCAAATGCAAGATTCTTCAGCTTTATCACCGGAAAAATGCACCAGCGATGAAAACCGAGCGCCAGAGTGGCCCCTCAGGTATTCAATCTGCCATTTTCCAATAAGTTTCACGTTTCCCACAGGAGAATAACTTTTACTTTACAGTGTGGGGTTCGGAAGAGCACATTTTGAAAAGCAGCCACCGAGTAATCTACGGAAAAGTAACTTCTTCCATTTTGTGCTGGCGTTGTATGACCGGCAGGGACAACCCATTGAAGTGGAGAGGACTGCCTTCATTGACTTCGTGGAAAAGGATCAGGTCCGTATTTCAGCCGTCGCCGTTCTTTTTTTAAAGGATTTCTCTGTTACCGTCTCAGGTCGTATTTCGGGCCAGGTCCCTTATCCCTTACGTCAATTTAAAGAGGATTGTTTTATTTCATTTTCCGATAATATAAATTAATATTGTGAACAGTTTTGTCATTCAAAATTTGGCCTAAAGTTCATTAATACAATTGCGGAAACACCTTGTAAACTTTTATTTCATTCGGTCATTTTTTTCTCTTTTAGGATAAATTAATCAGACTTAAAATATTACTCAAATCCTTGATATGTATTTTTATCTAAATTGTTTATATCAAATTGTTGCGACTTTATTTTTCTTAATTTTTTTTTCAGGAATTAGAAGGCCAAAAAACGAATAATGGAATACATTACAGGCTCCAGTTATTGTACGCTAATGGTAAGTGCCAACTGCTTTTGAATATTCAAATTTTAAATTTTCTCCGCTAGATATTTATTTTTATATTTATATTATATAGAAAATTATGAGAATATCGATATATAAAAATGATATATATAATGATATGCAATATATATAATGATGACTATTACTAATGTTTAAGACAATGTCTCTTGAACAATTAATATTGACTTCTTTATTAATTTTGAATCTATATCTCATTTAGATGTACATTACATTATGCACTAACGAACTCTACATGTTTTAATTTATCAATGTAATATGTTGTTTGAAATTAGAAGGCCCCGGGGAAGAATAGTACCTGGTACTAATCGGGTTACCTTCTCTAAATAAAGCATTATTATTATTATTATTATTATAAGCAACTTCTGCAGTTCTGGGAATTTAAATAAATTCAGGATTGAAAGTACGATAAACTGAATTATTAAAGACTTTCCCAAGTATAGTTAATTATTTCCTGTCAGTTTTATACATTATTAAAAATTGAGAATAGTTCTTTCTGATAGACACAATAGCAGTATGCTATCTTTAATTTATTTGTCCATTTTAAAATTCTCAATTAACGAGAAACAACAACTCCACATAATTTTACGCTAAATGGATTTTGCATATTTTTTTATTATCGCCTGAATGCATCACATTGCGAAGAGTTTTTATGGAGTGTTCATACAGCACTTTTGTCACCTTTTACGGAGCAGATTGAATTAAGTCGGGGGAGAAAATGATAGGATCGAATAAACGTTTGTTGAAAAAAAATACATCACTCAACGTACTCCGACAATGGTAAAATGGTAACATATAGATTCTCTAAAGAAAGAAGGTCGTTATATCCCAAACCCATAACAATGAACCTAATTCGGCCGGGTCTCCGAGTTTTACCGAATTCTACCTTCTCTGACAGATGGCGGATGAGATTCTGTCGAACTAGAAAATAACAGTTTCTTTAAATAATGGATCGTATTGATTGTATTAAGGAGAAAAAAAGGCAGAAAGCAAGAAAGAAAGAACTGCATAGCTTATAATTTATTAACGTGAATCTTTTGGGTGCTGGAGCCGATTCTTTTCATTTTATTTTAGTACAGTATTAATTATTCAGTTTCCTTGAGTAAGATTTTTCTCTTCACAATAACGGGAACTGGTGGCCATAGGCTTGGAAAATTCTGGTTATGAGATCAGAAATGATGAAGACATTTTGTGTTGTCAGTCGTCCGTGGATTTTTCTCGTGTAACACGCTCTCTCTCCGAGATTACGGACACGCTCCGATGGTTTTTATCTGGGAACATTAGAGTGACGATTCCGTTAGGTGTAGATGTAAATTGTTTTACCCTGCGACGTATTGTTTTATCATTAATTTCTGGCCACCCACTGCTTAAATTCGAATGCAATTCTTTATTTTGGCGAAGAAGACATCGAAGAAAAACGAGTTAAACACAGCACAAAAAAGCAGAAATTTTTACTTGGATTTCTGAATATGCTTGCTCATTTTAAAAGTCGTTTATTTTATTATACCTTATTGATAAAGCACAATCTCGTGTAGAATTTTAAAAATGTGCTAAAATGCCAGCAAAGTAATTTTTTTTTGATAAATGATGTCTGTTCGTTTTTTTAAATGTTGATATACTATTACTTTTAAATAACTGGGGGAAAATAGTTTCGTAATTGCAATTCTAATAAATTAATTATAATAAAATCCTCTGAAATATAACCAATATTGATCACCAATTTCTCTCAATATAAAGCATTCAATTTCTAAAATACAATGAAATTGCTAGTTTCAATTTTCACTCGCATCGTTATTCAGTGATGCAGTTCAAAAACTATTCTAACATTTGTAATTGTTAATTTTTTTTCAGGAGTACGGCAGGAACAGGATCTTTTCGTTCGTCTCATCGATTCCGTCACAAAACAGGTAGCAATTTATCCCCCATATATCTTTAATTACTTGATAATTGATAGCATTTTAAGCTAATGAATATGACTTGTAACCCAAGAAGTTTCTAATGCATGAATAAATATTTATCCGTTATTGCAAAAATTCCACCGCCATTGGATAGATGATATGCCGAGTTTTCCTGGACAACGTGCCTTAAATTCCGCAACTGTCAGAGGTGTCACGAAGGTATTCCAGAGGTGTCACGGAAAATTTGCCGCTAAATCGCCACCAAAGTTCTACCGTTTTGCAGAATCGTAATTGTGGAAGGATGGAGGAGAATTTATAATCCTCTCATTTTGACCCCTATTTACATCTGATATTTATTAGAAGACGAAAATGAAATTTGTCCTATGATTTTCGAGTCTCATTTGCAAGAGGAAATGTAACAACGAACTATACACTATTCATTAAGCAAGCAATACCAGCTTTAAATTTCAGAGGCATGTTCTGTTTTGTATTTTTGTGAGAATATCCGGAGCATATGGCGAGTCGCTAAATTCTTGGTTATAGATGTAAATGAAGTCAGTACAATAGACCAATTTTCTCCTCGCGTATCCGAGAGAGGCGTTCATTGAATATTGCCACCGCGTTTCTTGAGTGAAGAAATAAGGCTATGAATGTAATTTGCCCGAGCGGCGTTCGTTGTAAGCGTTTATATTACCAAACGGACTCAAATTCAGCATAAAATCAATTAATCGACGACTATGCATTGACCCCAGAAATGTCTAAAATTGACAGCAGTGTTCATTTTATTTGTAACGCCCTTCGAACAATTTTGATTTGAATTTTTCAAATTGCTCAGTTTTATATATTTTTAAGTAGTTTATTTTCATTTTCCTGCAGGCAATTATCTACGAGGGACAGGACAAAAACCCCGAGATGTGCCGAGTGTTACTCACACATGAAGTCATGTGCAGGTACTCAATAAATCATTTACTGGCTCTCTCTCTTTTTTAGTTCAATCGACCAAAAACTAATCAACGCAGGAAATAGATTTGAGCAAATTTTACTTAATTCTTTTAATTCTTAGTATCATCTTAAAAATCAAATCCGGTTGAAATTAAATCTAAATAATTAAATAGAATAATCTTTGTAAACTGGATTTGTTCACCTGAAAATAATTACCCATTTCGTGCGTTAGCATTTTGAAATAATTATTCAGTAAATTTTACACCTTAGTAACAATTGCAACAAGCAAAACAGAGAGTGTTTATTTGTGTCCGTAAATACAACACTTCTAACTGTTTTGTTGACAACACACAACTCGGTCCCCCTCCTCAAACAATGATAGCGTTCTTATCCTCCGGACATTATATTTACATTCATAACAAATTTAGCCCCATTACTTTTCATTTATCACTCCCCACAATCTGTTTCCCCTGTCTGAACCATCTGGAGCGGGGCTGTCTCCCCCCTCTATGACCTCATTACTATGCCCCTCCCGCTGTTTGGGGACGTCCGCATTTGATTATTACATATTGCTCGATTGATCAACGCCTAGGTTCAAACGTTTTTAATTAATCTTGTCTTTATGTGGAATCAAGCGAAAATTAAGCATGCAATCTATAAGTGAATTTATAGACTAAAAGTTGATGCTCTGTCATTCTAATTACCATCGAAATTGGAAGTCTTTACTTTATTCGAATTTTTGCCTGTATTTTACTCTTATGGTTTTTTAGAATTAAAATTAAACACAATAAATATGAAAAAAAAAATAAATATTAATAAAGATCAATTTTATCCACCGTTCATTAAGTTTCAAGCTCTTTGTCCAAGTACACTGTATGAGTTATTCATTAATAATTTCTTAGATACCAGTTTTATTCCTATATGATAATTTATATTTTTTACAACGAAACAAATACAAGCAAGATTAAATTACAGCAATGTACATGATGTAGGCAGTAAGCATTTGCATTTAATTGTTGTATTGGCTGTGTATGAAATAATTCCGTGGACTTCATATTCTTAAACAATTAATAAATAAAAAAAAAATTTAAAGTTTAAAAAAGGAACTTTCTAAACTCTAATCTGCTTTTCTTTCCCGTCCTTGTTGTATATCAGTTACTTATTTCGTATTATTTTTAAAAAAAATGTCTTATTTTAAGTTAGACAACATGTTCCTGAATTATAATTTTTCCCATGAATTTGTCATTGAGATATGGCTACTTTATAAATTTTCCTTACAAAAAAATTAAGGTACAGTGCATGGACATTATCAGGCATATGAGCAAGATATCCCATAGGAATGGCAGTTGTACTTTATATACCTATTGGAAATTACTTAGCATTGCTAATATATTTTTTGGTGTTTTTATTTTGAAAACAGGCACAAAAGATATTTGATTGACGTGTCGCAAGACCTTAAAGAAGTGCTTTTCTTTCATTTGAATAAAAAATTGTTTATTTATTTGTTTTTGTTTGTAGTCGGTGCTGCGACAAGAAAAGTTGTGGAAATAGAAACGAAACACCCTCCGACCCCGTCATTATTGACAGGTAGGGTCACTTCTCTTTTATTTATTTATTTATCAGTGGGTTTTGATACAAAAGTCTGTCATTTAACGAGCACCGATCTCTAAAGGTGTCCATTTTCTCGGGTCATAACCTTTAGTTCCCGATATTAGCAATTTTCTTTAATTTTCTCTTTGAGTTCTGTCTAATTACAAATCAGACCGTCTTTTGATATTTCCCCTTCCGACATCTCCAGCACATGTGTCAGACATTGAATCTGTCCACGTGTGACGAGAAAACAAAACCTGTCCCGTTCAGACCAGGTGTTTCCGATGCCGAGACAGCGGCACCCCACGGGCCTCCAAATCAAATGGTGTGATTTTCCGATCGTTTCCGATAATTTTTACTATTGACTAGAAAACAATTTACTGTAGATATTTTTGACTGTGCGTAGGAATTTTATTGCTTATTTTGTTTTTTGTTTTGCTTGATAACTGAATATAGAAAGTTAACTGTCTTCACATCACAGCGAAATGGGAAGATGCTCTATACTTTTGATATTGAAAACCTTAAGAGCAAGTCTGTAGCATCATTATTGAAGCGATTTTGAAGTCTGGTCTATTTTCGATATTCTTTATTTGTCAGGAAACTTATTTCAATTACTTTGCAACCTTTTGTACTGGGTAAAATACAAAAGCCTAATGTCGCATTAATCTCCACGCCAAAGACCAGCGCTCTCCGAAAGATTAAAAACTAGATTTATTTGCAACTAGAAAATGAGATAATATCATTTCTTTTTTGACCCGGTATTAATGAATTAATTCCGAGAGTTAATAGCGCAAAAACCACGGAGAATGAAGTTCTTGTGTGGTGTCCCCTAAAAGATTTCTATAGAAACACTCTTCACCAGATCGATGGACCAGCGCTTCATTCAGTTTTTATATGCAGCTTTATGAAGTGACATTTACGACTTGAAAATCTTAAAAGCAGACACCCAGCTCCATATAGATTCTTTTTATCCGGATTTACTCTAAATTATTTGGCTTAATTTCAACAAAATCCACGAATCTATCTATCAGCATTGCAACAAGTATATGAGCAAAGCGATGCAAAAGGTTTTTGATATGCTGTGATCGGAAATTATTTTGAAATCAATTTAATATCAGGCTCCTTTCATTCATGTTTAATTAACCACTGTATATTAATATTGCGAAGTACATTTACATAACAGCTGTTTAATTGTTTAATTAATTTACCTATCATTCTGTAAACTATTACGAAACCATTTCCCACAATTCCCTGGGGGTAGCCATCATGCTTACGTGTTGTTGCTGCTTGAATGAAACCGAGCGCGTTCCATTGATCACATATCCCCCGGGGAAGATACAAGTGAGAAAACGGCAGAAGGGTTATTTTCAGAGTAAAGTGACTACTCCAAGATCGTTGAATTCTTCTCGACTTACGTGCTAAAAGTCTTTACATTAACATGTGTGTTCATCTAATATTACTGTTACATGTACCGCAGAACACACCTATATGATAATTTAAGGACAGATGATACAAACAAAAAATCGGATGCCTGGATCGGTATATATAGTTTGGCATAATTTCATTGCAAATGATGCAAATAATAAATTTCTAGAATATAAAGAAATTGTAAACCTTCTTTGATGTTCAAACCTCTGCCCTTCTGTAGCCATCCTTATTAATCTATACAAATATTTTTTCACTTCAAATCCCATTTTTGTGAAATTTTGAATAAAAAATTAAAAAGTACGCTGTGAAACTTTTTCATTTTACTCATTTAAATATGACCCAAGTTGTTATTTTCAAATTTTTTGACATCATTTAGTTTGTATCATCTGTCCTTAACTTTAAAATTTACAAAATCATAAGACTTCGATAAAGATGTGATTTTTAAAACTGTTTATATATTCAATAAGTTTACTTTTTCAAAGATATGAATTGTTTTAAAGAATTTTTCAGAAAAAAAATCCACGAAAAATTAAAAACAGCATGCACAAAATTATCGTCTGTAAACACTAGATAGACAGATACACAAAAGATCATTAGAACTTTCCACACCTTCCCATACTCCACATCATTACATAGATATCTCAGAGCTAACCGATTGAAATATTTACTGTAAATCTTTTTTTACACAATATAAATTTCTCAGAATTCAGAAAAACAGGAGCAGACACTGAAAAGAGAGATTGTCTGAGGTTTTATCGCCTCTATGTAACCAGGGTGACAATTTGGCACGTCATATTTCCAATTTACTTTCACGAGTGTAGTTTTATTGTCAAATAATTTTGTATATTTGTGCATCTTTCTTTTGCTCTAAGTTTAAAGTGGGATTCTGGTCTTCACTTCCATTAATCTTTCACTAGGATGACTAAAACAAAGCTACAACTTTATTTATTAGTCTGTTCATTTTGGCCGGTGATTTTTTGTGGATGGACTAATTGACGTTTATGATTTTTATGAACCCTATCGCTCTGCATCAACCCAAGAGAAATAGGATTTACTGAAAATTCCTTTCAGAAAAACAGTGGTCAATTCCAATATCAATAACGATTTTTCTAGATGAATTATTTGTCAAATTCAGAAGATTAGCGAATAAATGGAATAAGATGCGGCCTAGAGCTTTTAACCGCTGCTACAATGCATTATGATATTACTCCGCTAAACTTGTAATTATTTTAGGACCTCTATAATATCCATATCAAACGGTCGTTAAAGCCATATCTTAAGAAACTTTGCTCGTGGTTTGTCATCAAAACAAATCATAACATGATAACACTGTTAAGTGTAGTATTATATACAAATATGCACGTTTTCAATAATATTTGGGTTTTACTGGGAGTACTTAGAGATGTACCAAAGGACTGCTCCAGTACCAATACTGACGCATGTCAGGATAATTGGGTAGAATTTTTGTATATTGTCTAAAACAAAACCTTTAAATTAATTTTTGTGACTAAAGATATAATACAGAGACGTCAGTTGACGGATCCTCTAACAGTCGGGGTCAGTTCCGATGACATCCTCTTTTCCAGACCCCCGTAATTTCGGTCCATCATCATATAATCACATTGGTAAAGTTGCAGGCCCGAATGCTGGTCTATCATTTCTCTGTCAGTGGTTAAAGCGATAGCGCGGTTAAAGCGATCGCAGGCTTTCAACTGCACCATTACCGCTTTTAATATGATACCAAAGAAGCTCACACTGGCTCGTTCAAATGTGGCGGTGACGGAGCGACTTCCAAATTAAGTTTGACAATATTTTTATTGCACGCCGATGCCTCCAGCTTCCAGGAAGCGGTCACGTCACGATCGCCCGAAGATGATACGCGCCTTAATAGGGTGTGTTAAGTCGTTCTGTTTGTCTGGTTTGACGATAGAAGTTTTTCAGAATCAATATTTGGAAACTTCATTTTTTATTATTCTCCAAATTGGTGTTTCTGCAAAATAAAAATTTACACTCTCCAAAAATTCGTCATTTTTTGTGCCAGGCCTGAAGCGTTCTCTAGTTTCTTTGTCTCTGTCCTTAAGCACTGTTAAGATGCCAGTATTTGAAAGTTCTGAATTCTGTAACAGCCAAGAAAAGCAATGCATGTTTTTGTAAATAATAAGAAGAGACAAACGTGAATTCTGCAGCACATTTACAGACATATATATAGTTATATTGTTCTGTGTATGATATCAAAACACCATATAAAACAGGCCTCACAAATAATTCATGATTGCTGCTTTATACATCTCCTAGGTCCAATCGATCAGACAAGTACTGATATTTCCTCTCATAAAAACTGCCGGTTAAAGGTGCCAAACATTTGAATTCCATCATATATGGGTATAACCAACATATTAAGATATTATTATTGGGAAAAATCATTTTTTAAAAAGCTGAAAACCAAAACGGTATTGGTTTTGAAATTGCATATACAAGTACGACATTTGATATTTCTTTCACAATGAGCATGTCACAAAACTTTTTTCTGAAATATTAAAATAAATAGAATGAATAAATTCACTTTATTTTTAGTTATTGTGAGGTTATTTTGTAAATTACAACTAAATTTATTGCATCAAATTAATCTTCGTTCGAAAAATCAGAATGGTTGACTTCCATGCCTTCTCTTATGTAATTCATAAAAAAAGAAAAAAAATCTCGCAGTGCAAGTCTCAGGGGTTTTTCCTAATGATAAGTAAGTGTTCGAAAGAGCGCTTGTTCATCGTTTACGGCACGGATTTTGCCTTTTCGGTGTTTCCGATAGAGAGATATTGCCTTGATCATATCTACCCGATTCAATTTAGCGGCCCCTGGTGGGACGAATTTAACAAATAAAACTTACGATCTTTGAATGAAGATGAGAAGCACTGTATATTGCTGATTATGAAGGCTTCGGCGGCGTCCCTCTGGAATTCTCGCTTGCAGAACAATACCGAAGTCCGTAACTAGCAGCACTCCGAACCCGATAATTCTATTTCGCCATTAGTTTAACCCGGGGTCCTCGCGGGGTTTGGGATCTTGAATATTCATACGCACTATTTGGTGTAATTTGTCAAGAGAACAATTAGCCTATTAGGTAGGTTTGTTAAATCTATTTAGACAAAGGGTCCCTGATGACTCTTTATGTTCACAAAAACGTCGGTTCTGAAGAGGAGCTTCGTTAACAATGCTTCATCGCCGCCATTCTATTCTTTTCGTCGTTATCTGATGCAGATCGAACTTGTTTGTAAATACAGTTTACAAACACGACCAAATAAAGATTACCAATTATCATTCCATAATTAGCAAATGTGAATAAAGAGTATAGCATAAATCAGAAAGAAACTAATTTAATCAATGTGAATTTGAAAACCATTTCCTTAAACCATCGCTAATAATTTGTGACAATTCTGCAGCAGAAAGAGAATAGTTTATGATCTTTTAAAAAATTTGAAACTCTTTCCAAACAAAGCTCTTTTGACGTAAAGAAATTTGGACAAGTAGGAGAGAATATTTCCATTAAGAATGATGGAAATGGTCTAGTTTTGGCCAGAGCCATCCATCATGGCGACCATTTAGCCGTGCTAATACGATTAACACTCTAAAGTCGTCTGCTGACGACCGAGAGGAAGGCGAACGCGGGGCAGCCATTACAAAATTTACTACAGGGTGACAATGTTTATGGCGATTTGGACTCGGGCCGCAGATGGATAAGTATGCAGAAGTCGCCGAGAGCCGATAATTGAAACTGAATTTGTCGTTGGTTTGTTCAGAAATATATTTTGTCATTTATCCAGAGCCAGTGATTGCTCTTGGTTTATATGGCGACGTTGACGGTACAATACAACCCCCGCGGGACCTTTGATCCTCATTTTCTGAGTTCAGTATTTATATTGGAAGTCAGATTGAGGGGCAAAAAGAAAGCTTCTATAAATGAGAGCACAAACCTTTATCTTAATGTGCTCGCTGTCGAAGAAGCTCATGAGTTAATCAACTTCCGCTGGAAGTGATAATATTCACGTGCCCCGGATATAAAAGATCTAATCGGCACGTGGACCTCGTGCTAATTATCATAAATTACGAGCGTTTCGCCTTTTGTGCATCCACTTCTGCTAGTTACCGCGATAACCGAAGACCCGTTTGAAATGATGTGGCTGGTGCCAGTTTCCGATGAGAAACGACACGGAAAATATGGCAAAATTGTCTCACGGAAAGAGATGAATGCTTATTGGTGATATACAAGTGATAAAATTCATAAAAAAAGAGTTTTTAAAAAAATATATCATATTTTATAATTTAACAATACATGTACGTTCTTAAGAAAAAAAAATACACATATAAATTGAAAATATCATAAAATCTATTATACAAATGAATTACGAAGCCGGAGTCATCGACTTGTGAACGTGTTATTTAGTGGGAAGAATTTGAAGTCTACAATCCTCTCCTGTTCGTATAAAACGGAAGGTTGACTGTCTTTAGAAATGTGGACGACTAATTAGACGGAGAATTCCCGGGGGTTTCCGATTGGTTGGAGAACAATTACGTTAGATAGTTAGTAGTCCTGTCGAGGCCGGACTCGTGACGTGGCAGCCGTCTCCAGGGAATGTTCCCGCCAAGATGTACGTCTGCTTCGTCCAACAGATCATTTCTTGTAACTAAAATTCTTGCTAAACTATCTTTTCAGAATCTTCGGTGTTTCGATTTTTGTCTTATAATTGGATTTATCAATTTTGATGGGAGAATTCGTCGAGCGATCAGATATTACTGCATAGAAGGTCATACACACTTTGAAATTGTGTGTATATCTTTGAAACATTAGAAATTATCAATCATTTGAAAAGGTGATTTTCTGGGCGCGGTTTCATGGCAGGAATTGGTCATAATACAAGTCATCGTAAAGAGCGGGGAATTTGTTTATCTTTTGATGTAACATTGTTTAAACTGCTCATTAATGGCCTTGCCACAGTATCTATTTCACCTTTTCGCAGAAAGAAAAATATAAACCCTCGTTACTACATGTTTGTTTGTGTATTTAGGACTCTCTTGGGAACTAATTTTCACTTGGTGTATCACTCCGCTGTAAATGAAAACATTTGTATTCCCATCCAGCCTAACACTTTTTCAAACAATAATTACCACAGGCGGATGACTCTCCGAGGAAATGAAATGTTCGCAGTTTTCTACAGTAACTTGTCTAAATAAACTAACTTAACATGTTATTGGAATCGCATTCCTGTGATGATATTTAGTCATTTATAATCAACACATAAACGTCACAATTAATCTACGAAATATGTTTCTTCAATAACAAACTATATTGCCAAGATCACGTTAAGTTATTGACACAAGACGTGATTATTTCTACACAGATTAACCGCTAACATTATATAATTTCTTCTATGAAATAAGTTAGTCTGTCAGTTTATAATTAAGACGTGCTTGTCTCTCTCTGTCATTGATCTTTGATGTGTGAAATCCAAAGACAGCCCAAGGAGCACACATCGGGTTCCTCTAATTGCCGTAACCCCTTTAACCCTAAGCACCCAACACAACCGACTCCCCAAGAGAGTACTTGTTCAATTTAGTTTCGTAGCTTATTTTGCTAATCAACCCGATTTTGGTTTTACCCCAATCTCTTGGTCCTGTGATCAATAGTGCATTCTGCAAATAGAATGATAGAGTTGTATTATCGTCAATATTTCTGCCTTCAAATAGGTCCACAGGGATGAGACAAGCATATCAGAGCAACAGAGAAGGCTCTGATAAGACTTTTTCCCAGGATTAGTACATTTCTCTCAGTATCTATTCACTTTTACAACAGCACATTCTTCTATCAAACGAGATAAAAATCTTTACACCAGGAAAGCAAGATCACAGTAGAAGAAAGCATTCTAATGCTTTTGTTATGCGTTAAAAGCTGACAAAATGGCATCAAATGTTGTAGTGTGAAAACATTGAAAGCTGATCATTAAACAACAAAAGACAAAAAAATGTTTCAGAAACTTGGAAAGCAGTACTAAATTATTAAATTTCTATCGATTTGGAAATTTGAATTCTGCAAATTAAACATTGCATATTTTGCGAGCCTTTGCTGCGGTCCTGCTATGATCTTGTTGATTGATGTTGTATCGTTAATTAAATAACTTTTCCCGTGTCATACGAGACCTGTTCCGGAAAGCTTTAACAAAATATCATTAGTTGATGGTTCCTGTTGAACGCCAGCAATTCCGATCCGACTGTGTCTCTTGCTCTCATTCAATAACAATAATGGTCTCTATTTGAAGTGTGTCGCTACATGTTATCGATCGGGATCGCGACTCAGGTATTACCGACATTAATGTGCCGATTCCGGGATGCTATGTCGTCTGATGTTTGGAATCAAATGGTGCGATGACTTGAAAATGATGAGGAAATTGCAATATTTCCGCCATTATGGATTAACTTGTCCAATCAACATAACACGCGGCATGAAAGTGAATCAAAACAAATTTATTACTATATAAAGTTTTCTTTTAGCATCTGTTTCTTTTTTCTGTTACTATATTGCTTACGCTTTGGTAAGAGGTCTGTCGTCCGTGTGTTTGTGTGTTTTCCGTTAATTTCCGTCAATAGAACGATACACAATTAGATTACACTAAGATGATTCATATGATTTCAACAAACTGTGTTACGATAGTAACAATTTCTTGAAATTCTACTCCTCTAACAACAATCGTAATTTTTACACAGGCACAATGTAGAAAGAATCGAGGCTGGAAGGCGTATATTATTATCGGTGGTATTAACAGCTCTTAGAGTATGTGAAAATCTTTAAAAAATGTTACTCCTATTGTTTTGATCTTAATAAAAATTGAACAACAGAATACACAATCTTAAAATTTAAAAACTTATAAATTCAAATGAAGGTTCTACTTTTTCTCCTTCCATTGTAAGAAAAAGCAGTAAAGCTGTAATTTATTGAGTTACTTTAGGATCTTTACTTTTCGTCTTCTTTTTTTAATATAGTTAAGATAATTACATATTTTTGAACATTTCATCTATATGAAAAATTATCGTTTGACAGTATAAAAATAAATACCGAAATAAATAAATCTTGAGGACGAATAGAATGGAGTTGGGAAGGAATAACTTTTTTCGGAGAAAAAGACCTAATGTTGAAATTTTAAATAAGCATCAGCCATTGTAAAATGTAATAGAATATGTGAACCGTACGTCTTTTGATATGTATGAGAGATTGTCGGTAGACAACTAATTGCTTTACTGTAATTCTGGTACGGTTTTACACGGAAAGTCTCGCGAGATCTCGGATCCAATCATTTATTGATACACAGGTAATTTTCTCACTCCACTTATACGGGCCTCTGGGGGGATGGGCTTACACATGAGCAACAATCGTCCCAGGGGGCTGCTCGTCAGGGCAAATAAGATTCAGTGGTGGGAGGGAGTTTCTTCAGGGTACATTTAGTGGAAATAAAAAAAAATGCAAATACCTATTGTTTCCCGGTTAGGGTAAAAAAAAATTATATCTAGAATACAATGCTAAATTTTTATTTTTTTTTTTCATCGTAACATTTTTTTTCGTTTTTCATAACAAAGGAGGTTCAAACTTTTTTAAGGTTGAGTGGGCCAGTTAGGACAAGACTTAGAAATATTATATTTGTCCGTAACTCGATCTTCTCTGTAGGACTAATGGCTAGTATCACACCAAGAAATAACGGTACTCTAGCAAACGTTCCGAAACGCCAGGCCGGGGTACTGCATAATTGATGCTGGTATTGAGCATTTGATAGAGGAATTGATAGTGTATTTCTTTATTACCTGCTACCAGAACTAACCCTTTACATGCAATATCGTCATAAAAACTGGGCCGAGTTTAGCATTCAGCCTTAACGAGAGACTTTAGTCGATTTTGTGTTGTCCTTTCCGGATGCTGCAAAGAAAAACTAGAAAGTAAACCTGAAAATAAAAAAAAATGATTTTTTACATAAATTTCTGGCCAGATGTGAGAAATGGTGGTTTCTGATCAGCCTGGTGTGTCGTTACTACTTTATAGTCACATCACAATGATTAACAGACTGTTATCTGGAGTTCCATCGTCTCTTAATTTAGAACAATTCATTATGTAGACTGACGTAGTCACTGTTCTTTGTTTTGTAGGTTTTTCTTAAAGTTCTTCATGAAGTGCAATCAAAACTGTTTAAAGAATGCAGGGAACCCACGAGATATGCGGAGATTTCAGGTACAAACTGTTCCGATATTTAATTCAATGTCTTAATATACTTATTTAAAAAAAGTATAGTAAATAACGAAAAGAAGTTAATCGCATTTCAAAAAATCAAATGTTAACATGTTTTTAGGACCAAACTAATATTTTTTCGTAGTTGCCTTTTTAGGCAATTTTATTTCTGGATCATCTATTTAAAGTTTCTTTAAAGTAAGATTATTTTCTAGATTGAAAATAAATGCTTAATTACAATATATTTTTCTCCTTTCTTGGTAAGTGGCATTTTGTAATGGGTTTGTCGTTCTATAATCCTAGTTACTGGAAAGTCTCGGAGTTAATGCTTTATTTGAGCAGGAACTTGTCAGAACGAGGCTGCACGATCTCGGAAACAAAGACAAACTGTGATCATTTTCTCAATCCATCTCCCTCTAAACCCTTTAATGATATTTATAAAATCTCTAAAAGAATGTTGATGTATGGTTTTGAAACTCCAGCATTATATTTAACCTAATCCCCAGAAAATGAGACATATTGATAAGATTAGGAGCTCTTCAGTGCAACCTCTTCAACGGAGGCAGAAAAGGTGCTTAGTATAAGGCCGCTCGGGGATTAGAGTGTTTGTCAATGGCTATTAGTTGAAATTTGTGTAATAACAAAGAATAGGTGAAAAAATGAAGTCAGAATGACAACATTGATGATAGGTCGATGAATAAAATAAGGTGATTATAAGAAATTGATCTCGGGAACAACTTGTTCCCTCGGATTAAATATACACCAGAGACGGAATGGAAGTGCAATGGGGAAAATGAGCAATGAAAGCGGATTTTGATGTCTAGGTCTTAATTTACACTTTGTTTATGTTAACAACAATGACATAACATTGACACATAGACAAATAAATGTCAACATAACTAAGAATATAATTCTCTGAAGAGTGAAAAAAATAAAATTTATACCTTCGTTTTTTCCAGGTGGCTATTTGTACGACTATTTCTGTAGACGGAACATTGCTAGCCGTCTCGGATAACATGTTTGTTCACAATAATTCCAAACATGGCCGCCGCGCCAGACGACTGGATCCAACGGACGGAGGTCAGTTACTGCACACATCTTCAAAAATAGTCAATTGTTTCTAACATACTGGTTTTTCTTGTCATTTTATGCGTACAATGTATTCATTATCAATTTTCTTTATCGTTTTATTTCGTTAATTGTGAAAAAGAGAGCCATCACCGAATAGTCTGTACATACAAGTAAATTTCGTTTGCAACGGTATGAGAGACAGGCGAATGTTATAAACTTTTGGGAAAAACACTTCTACCTCTTGGATTATTTGTATTCATTTGTAATCCATTTTGATTTTTTTTTTAATTTCTATTTTGTTTTGTTTCATTTAGTAACGTGTGAAATATATTACGTCAATTTTATCCGTTTATCAAGAATTCTCTGTTTTAAGTTTGGAATGTTAACGAGTTATTTTAGTTATGCTTTCTTAGTTTCAGTTGCTAATATTTTGTCCAGTTACACTTTTTATTATTTTTTTTTGTTTGAGTTGCAAGTCACAACATATTCCATTTAAGTCGTCTTTGGTATTAGAGAATGGTAATTATTCAAGAATGTCCAAACTAGTGCGATCGAGTTACCTAAAAGACAATTAAACATTTGATGGTTGATTATAATTTAAATTAAAATAACAATAGCGCACTCATCCAGACCCCATAACACACCAGCTGTCTAAAATCTGATTCTCCACGACACATCTGTTCCGGAGTGGCCCTTCTTCTACCATCTGTACTCGTGTTTTTTAGATTAATGAATTTAACCCTCCCCTTTTATTAAGACAAAGTCGCTCATTCTTGTCTTCAGTGAGGAAAAAGACAGAAAGCTATCAAGCTTTTCTCAAAAAAGTCGAGCGATAAATGTGTCGAATCAATACACACTTGAAAAATGTTAAGAGCTTTCTACAAGTTCTCAAGTAAATCAAGAGTCCTTTCCCTATTCGTCTTAAGCAGGGAGATGAAAATAATTGCAGCAAATTGATGACATTTAGGAAGCTAATGTCAGTGATTGTAGCTAATTTGTGTACACAGCTAACACTGACGTGTTGGTGGCACAAACAGTTAACAAAAACTTACAGCCCCGTCATTTGTTTACCAAACACTTAATCAAGGTTTTATGATTTAAAACAAGACTTGGAGGAGTGAATGCTTTATGTCAATGCATGATTGATATACTAAAGTCAAGTCTCAGCCATTTTGCATGTCAGCTATAGTTCCATTAATAGCTTAGTATAATGGTGTGAAAATAACTGACACGCGAATATTTCTTATCCCTAGATGCTTGGTTTTTTGCCGACTCGTACACCTCCAGGGCCTTCGGTCGCTACCCTCGTGACGCCGGGGTCATCAGTAAGTATATTACAGCCTATAGGACAGACATGCAGATATAGTGTACCACTGCTTATACAAAGCATCCTCAGTTTCTCTTTGTTTTGCATTTCTTATACTCATAAACACCACCTTGCTTTTGCTTCTTAAAGTTTAGTTAAAACACTTTTGCCTAGATGTTCTTTTAGTTTTCTGTCAAGATAAAGTCAGTCAATAGTCTAGACCACGATTTTCTCTCTATAGCCACGCCCACAATCAAGGCCATTTGTCCCAGTGAGGGTTGGACGTTAGGGGGAACTACCATCATCATCATTGGGGATAACTTTTTTGACGGGCTCCAGGTGGCGTTTGGTTCCGTGTTCGTTTGGAGTGAGGTAAATATCTATGTGTGTTCATACAAAATACCATTTATAGCTTAGAAGAATATTTCAATAGACATTGCACAGAGCCCAAGGAATAAAATGCTCAGGGGACAGAAGTTTAAATATATTTTAATTACAATAGTTTTTATGGCACATAATTATTTAATTTCTTTTTAATCAATACACTTTTATTCATTTTATCAAGGCGGTCACCATATTTAACATAGCTGAGGACTAGAGTTCCCGTTAGTAATCAAGTCCTGTTGAAACTGAACAAGGAAATTTATCATTTTAATCTCCGATATCATCTATTGATCGAGCGTTTAACTGTTTTATTTAAGAGTCAAAATGTAATGTTTCTCTATACCTGGGTCATGATTTGGCAGATGGTTGTTGTAGATAGCCGTGTTACGATCAGTCCTCTCAAAAGCCCAGGAAAGATGAGTCGCGTTCACGTGACATTGCTGGACGACCCGGCTTATAATTTCACATTCTGACACATCATAGAGCAGATTTTTTATTCTGATTACACATGATCGAATTTATGTTTAGTTGCAATTCCTGAAATATTTGAATGTGGAAAATTCTGGTCGTGTATCAAAGCCTGTTAAGGTAAAAATTTTAATACAAATGGACAATTCGTTCCTCGTTCAAGTCGAATCGCCATGAATTAATAATGAAAGACCGAAAGGAGCGAAGGTATATGATCTCGAGATAATTAATTGAAAGTGAATGTCAACCTAACGTCGGAATAAGAGGCTCTAATTGTCAGCTTTGGGTCTTTCCAAGGCGACGAGCTAAGCTCTAAGAACATCAGCATTGTCTTGTTTTAAAGCTGACATGAACTCTTAAAAAGGCATCATTTTTCATCTGTGTACGACTTACTACATTCCTGTACGCCTTTGTCCGCCATATTTCTTCGATTCCGCCATATTTACTTGATAATTTTTGGCCACCTGTACCTGTTATATAAAGCCTCGTGCATTTGTTTCACTTGAGTGATTTTCTAGCCTGGCTGTCGACATGTACACATCTCCGAAAGCATAGCTGTCATAAATCCATAAACTGACCAAATGCATGTTTTGAAAGTTAAACTCCAACAAAAACTAGAACTATACTGAGAAGTAAATTATTTTTGAATGCATTTGCTGCAATTTAGAAAAAATAATACAGAAAACAGCAAAAGCCGTTTGGATATGCACGCATGCAGGTCGAGAGTACGCATCGAACGCTGTGATAAAGATATTTACCTGACTACTGCTATCGCTACAGGGATGTGCACATGTCGAAAGAAATATCCTATTTTACTTTTATTGAAATATGCATCTCAGAGGTCATGTAATCCATTGCTAACTGAACAGTAAAAAATTGTCACCACATAGCACTTGGACACACGTGGTCCACGACGATCAGTCTATTTGGTCAGGGGAAATTTCAAAGGTGGAAATCTGACTGAAAAAGTGCATTTTTTTTTTCAAAAATAAATATTACTCTTGTCTGTATATGTAAATGTAAACAAAATTTACAAACATGGCTTAATTACATTAAATTTATTTTAAAGCATGCAACATTACGAATCATTCATCCTTTGACGAGATTCTCCCGTGAAAGGGGGGGGGGGGGTGGAATGCATAACGCTCTCTGAAAATGATCGGATTTTATTACGATCATATATTTTCATTATAAATAATGTGTATTGGCTTTATTTATTTATTTTTTTTTTTTAATAAAGACCTTTTATAACTTGATTTAAACTTCTTTTTTTTTCTTTTTTTTTTAATTCTATAAACAATAAACGAGTTTGATTCTGTGGTACATGAATAATCAAAATAGAATTCATTGGCGGATCCAGAGGTGGAGTGGGGTTCCAGGGATTGGAACCCCCGGCCTTTATTTTTGTACACACATACAGAGAGAGAGAGAGAGAGAGAGAATGTTTTTTCTGTAATATATAAATATTTACACGTCTAATTATATGAATAATTTGAAGACATAAAAAAAAAGTTCTCTAAATCTGTAATTTTCGCGGATTTGCTTTCCTCTGCGTGCCTTCAATCATTTTTCAATCAATTATTTGAATCTCTTCACCATTTTACAACAGTATACAAAAATCACAAAAATATATAGGTGATTTTATACATAACAGTAGATATATAAAGCATGCGTGAATAAGAAACTAAACAAAAAAATTGTACGTTGCTATGAATGTGAAGTATGGGAATTTAGGCGGGGGGCATATTTTGTTTTTTGTTTTTTCTTTATAAACGAGCACAATTTTATGAGAAAACAGTATATATATCATAATGTGTTTAAAATTAATCACTTTCTGAAATTTTAAGAATAGCATTCTTTCTGAAAGTAGCGAGCTGCACTTTAGTGTGTAATGAAACTCATCTCCGAGTTCTTTTAAATTACAATGGGGATCTTGTCTTGGTAACCCTGGCTAAGGGCTTCGACCACCCACAAGTAGCATGCAAGGAAATTCCAGCTAACTTTTTTACCATTTTGGACCATTTTTAGAAGTAAAACTTTTATGCATGCAATATTTCAATTCGTTAAAGATAAAGGTTTAAAATGTTCCCGTAGTATGCAAAAACTTTTTCTGTGGATAATCTTTGCTGCAGTTTTAAATAAATTAAAATTTTGATTTGGAAGCTCTCTACACATTTTTTGTTTGCAGGAAAATAAGCAGATTCAAGCATGTAAAAGTAATGTACCGAACAGAGCCTCCTTTATCCCCTACAAAAAAGGATTGCATAGAGTGTGGTGCATAGATTTTTTTGTTTTGTTTTTTTGTGTTTGTTTTGTTTTTTGTTTGTTTGTTTTTTTTGGTTTTTTTTTTTTGCTTGTCAACTGATTTTGGAGGTCCCCCCTCAATATAAATTGAAGTGGCTGTGTTGTGATTCTATGAATGAGTGCCAAATTAGCTGGGATTTGCAAGGTTATTAAATTTATATACAAAAGCTAGAAAAAAAGTTACGTTGGAACCCCCTCGGAAAACGCAGACTCCCTGGTAAACGCGAATTTGTGTTAAATTGGTACGAAAAGTCTAAGGTTTGAAGCATTAAAAGTCATGTACACGCTGAAATAGTTTTTGAAGTTTGGGCGAGTTTACGGGGTTTTTTGCATGTCAAGAAATATCTGGGTTGGATATAAATTATTAATAGTCGAGGCATATAGGAAGGGAAAGCAAACTGCCGATGAGAGTTCCACATTCTACCAAAAATTAGCTTTTTTATACCTCTTGTCTACATAATTTTTGTCCAGATTCCTTACCTGAGAAGGTACATTTATTTGAGAAAGTTCCCAATGTTCCCATTTCTATGATGTGTAGACTTCACGTTTTCATGAATTTTCCTTTCAATTTCGGCGTTTAGGTTTATTTTTTTGTCAAAAGTAAAATTATTATTTCAATTTTTGAACAAGTTTCGACATCCCCTCCTGAAAAAAAAATCTTTGATCTGTCCCAAGATCTAATAAATGGTACAGCACAAAATACATATGGTTTTATATCTATTTTTGCGCTTACAGATGGTTACAGGAGGAGAGTACGGAAGCCCGTTGGTGCCATGTATGAAAAATATTTTATCTGGCGGCCGCCATTTATTAATTGGCGGCCGCCACATATATATCTGGCGGCCGCTACTTATTATTTGGCGGCCGCCACTTATGTATCTGGCGGCCGCCACTTACTATCTGGCGGCCGCCATTTATTATTTGGCGGTCGCCATTTATTATTTGGCGGCCGCCACTTATATATCTGGCGGCCGCCACTTAATTTATATGGCGGCCGCCACATAAATTATTTTGCAAAAGGTGAGTGTTATTGGGTTAAGAAGATGGATGTTGACAAAACCGCTGCTTATTGATAAAAAAGTAAATGATAAAAAACGAATTCTGAAATATTGGAACACCATTCTTGGAAATCCAAAATGCAAAATTTCATTTAATTCTCAACCAATCATAGCGTACAGCAAACACCATGATTTATGTCCGTGACCCTTGATGAGGCTTCTTAATAATCGAAACACTCTACAAATACTTGCATAATTCAAATCAAATATTAATCTGCTCTATGCAAAAACATATCTATTAGAAGTGTGGATTGGAGTGTTGGTTCATAATAAATCTCTTACAAGTTTGGTTGATTGATGTTGCTATTATAATTTTTACACTGTATCCACCTCTTAAACCACACATTAAAACATGCGAGCGATTCAGGAAGCCAGGTGTTATCTGGCGGCCGCCATATAAATTATGTGGCGGCCGCCAAATATTATGTAGCGGCCGCCAGATATATAAGTGGCGGCCGCCAGATAAATCATGTGGCGGCCGCCAAATAATAAGTGGCGGCCGCCAGATGTTATATAGCGGCCGCCAGATAAATTATTTGGCGGCCGCCAGATATTATATAGCGGCCGCAAGAAAAATATGTGGCGGCCGCCAGATATTATATTGCGGCCGCCAGAAAAATATGTGGCGGCCGCCAGAAAAACTATGTGGCGGCCGCCATGTATTAAGTGGCGGCCGCCAGATATTTAAGTGGCGGCCGCCAAATAATAAGTGGCCGCCGCCAGATATATGAGTGGCGGCCGCCAGATAAAATATTTTTCGTACGTGGCACCAATGGGCTTCCGTAGTAGAGAGAGCGAGAGAGTTCAATGAATAAAAGAGTAATTAAAAATTATCTGTATTCAACCAGGTTTCAAGTATCCCTACCCAAGTTTTTAAAAGTATCTCCCAAATATTGCGACAGAAATTATTTTTATTTTCAAAAAAAAACTAGACTGTCAGACAGGGATACTGAAATCTCGAAAGACTTCCTGTAATAATTATAAAACAGCCACATTCCGCAAAACTGTACATACTTTGTGGTCGGAGTGAGACAATAAAAAATCTTCAAAAATGGATTTGGCAGAAATGTCTGTCTTCCAAGAATATTTAGGTAACGGCCATGTAATTATTTCTGCCCCCCCCCCCCTCTAAAAATACGAATGCCTCAATATCAGTCTAAACGGGGATGTTTTTTTCCGCGGTATGTTAAAGAACGTACAGATGTACACATAAACTTTTGTATTCTGGTGAAATGTTTTTAAGTCTTGAACTAAATATTTACCGTATATCAAATTATTTGGTTTAGATTTGAGATTAGTACTAAAATAATCAGTTGTAATTGACAATGAATTTTGCGATGCAAAACAACTGCAGACTATATAAAGAATGCTTATTAGAACTAGATAGACAATTTTCAGTTATACCTTATAAAGCCGTTATAATTATACTTTAACCCCCCCCCCATTTCAGCCGCGCAAATACCACTCTTTTCCACTTTTTATATTTTCCCTGACCAAAATCTGATCAGCACGGACTAAGTGTATCGACGCGCTAGACTGTACGGAGTAGATACAGTGTGTTTATTGAGTTTTTGTGGAGTTTATTTCTTTTTTGTGATGCATATTTCAATAAATGGAATTCAAGGTGTATATCACTTGACTTGTGCACATCTTCGAACCGATGCAGTGATCTTATTACCAGGTATGGGTACGTTTACAGCGTTCGACGCGTTTTCTCGACATGCATCAAAGTCTGCATAAAACATGCAAATCAAAGACGCTGATTGTTTTGTTCCATTCAAATGATAATAATTTCAAAGTGTGTTTACGGGTTTTAGTGCTTTTTATTTCATGTTTATTCTGCATAAATTGGCGCAGTGTAAAAATGCGTACTCGTGCAACTAAATCTTTCTTTCAAACTTGCATTTTCTTTCTTTTTTATAACATTTGATTCAAATCTTTAATTATTCAGAAATATGATTATTATGTTGTTTGGTTTGAAATGTCTTGATCAACCCATATGTTTTCAAATGTTTTACCATCGGAGATGTGCACAAGTCGATAGCCAAGCCAAAAAATCATTCAAGTGTAACGAGGGTATTGGGGTATATATCGTTACAATAAGACAAGGTATCTGAAAGAAATATGGCGGAATACGGCTATAGTTGGTATGAAACAAGTCGTACATAGATGAAAAAGTTGCGTTTTTAAGAATTCATGTCAGCTTTAAATATTTACGAGTTATATTGTTGTCGTACACTAGTTTAATGCTCGCAAATCATCCGAGCGCAGAAATCGATGGCAGTAGAACAGATCTATCTCACCAGAATACATAAAACGAAGTACCGTATCATACAAAGCCAGGACGAACGACGAGTAACATTACAATTCTTATAGCGACAGGATTTACTCTAAAGAAATTTTAAAAATTATAAAAAAAAGATTTATCGCTGTAGAAGAAAAATTATATTAGTTAAATAAAAAAACTTTGCTTGATTTTGAAATAAAAATTTCTATCAGAAGTACAGCTCCTAAGGAAGCAATTTCAAGAAAAAAAAAATCATTGACAGGTAAAAATAGAACAAAATCATCAGACGTTATATAAATCCTGGAGTCAACGTATGAAGTAGTTGTGATTTTCTTGTATGAACTATATATATCGGCAAAAAATATAATAGGTGTCATCTCCGCGAATTCGTAGGTTACGGAAAAAACTGCAATAAGGCTTTTAAAATTTCATGAACAACATGACAAAAAATTAACCTTCCAGGTTTACATTAAGTATCTAAATGTTTTATAATATAAGTGAGATTTATTTCTTAAACATAATAAAATCACATTGTCTTGATGACGTTTCAGCTGATTACGTCACATGCCATCCGTGTTCAGACACCTGCGCGACAGCTTCCAGGTGTGGTAGAGGTCACGCTCTCCTACAAGTCAAAGCAGTTCTGTAAAGGTGCCCCCGGAAGATTTGTCTACACAGGTAATTATTCTCGGGTTTGTTGTATAAAATATAAATTTTATACTTATATAATAAAGAATATATTCTGTTATAGACTACATCATTTCTCAACTCAACCATGAAAAGGAATCTTCGAAAGTAGTACATATCCTCTCTACCTTGATAAACACTGCATAGTATTTCACCCTTCATTTAATTTTAATTGCTGACAGAGTTTTATCACAGGATGTATCAAATAATGATGTTACACTCAAACGTGCATAATTATCTCAAAAAGACTATTTTAATTCTTAATGTTCAATATTTGCATATTTTAAGGGATTAAAAAAGTATTCCTGTTGATTGCATTTTTATATCGCAATATAAAATTCTGTAATATGTCTCAAAGAACTGTCAGTAGATTAAAGTACCCATTAGATCTTATCGAGGGTAATTTTTCCTGCTGTATCGTCCTCTGTTTTGTTTTCATTAATGAAAACTAAAACTTGGCGAGCTTTTCTTTTGACTTTAAATACGTGCAGAAGAAGCTGGGCCGATCAATCGATAGTCATTACACATGCACCATTGAATTGACTGAGAGTCTAATATCGGCGTGGAATCGTAATGAATATTTCCCGAAGTGATAATAGTAATCTATAGCATCTCCTGAAAAAATGTCAGAGGCTGTAATTTTCTACATGATTATTCTTATAAACCAGTATTTTTCAGATGTGACAAAAAATTCTGCTCCATCTGGCTTTATAATGTATCATTTATAGGATTAAAAAATATACAATGAAAACACATTCATTTGAACGAAAACTTAAAAATATATATATAATTAATTTACATAGACCAATGTATGACTCCTCCCCCTCGTTTCAATGATAGAATAAAGTGAATTGCCTGTCAGGGCTTCACGCATATTTTTTAGAGTTAAGTTCATTAGTTATTATCTTGTACATTAGAATAAATAAACACGTTTTTAGAATTGTTCTTTAATTTTCCTCAGCGTTAGCGGAACCAACCATTGATTACGGATTTCAAAGATTAATGAAGCTCGTCCCGAGACACCCCGGGGATCCCGAGAGACTTCCGAAGGTACTAAACATTCCATATGTAAATCTTAACCAATCAGAAGCATGTTATTATGAACAGGTTATCTGAGTAATATTTTTCATATTTGTTGTGGAATTTGGAAGCAATATGGGGTATATTTCTGAGGTGATAAAACCACGATAGTTCCAATATTAATATCTGTAATATTATCTGAGTTACACGCATCTTATGGTGTTATGATAATAGCTTGAACAGGTTTGTTATGCTAGAAGAGCTTTTTAGCTTATGTTTAAACCGCTGGTATAAAGATTACCAAAAAATGTGAAAGTATCTTATATTCAAAAGTTCAAGCAGCTCTTTTATATCATTCAAAATTGGATGTTCATTTTTAAGAAGAGAATTTTTTTTTCGTATTTCATATTTTACATTTGAGAAAGAAAATACTGAATAACAATAATAAAGTTACGTTGTAGTTTTGAATAAATTTAACGATATATTGTAAGAATCATTCAGGGGAAGACAAATAAGCTGTTTAATTCTTTGACAGGAGATCGTTCTGAAGAGAGCGGCTGATTTGGCGGAGGCTTTGTACAGTATGCCAAGAAACCCCAATCAGCTATCCCTCCCACCGCCGCGGTCCCCCGCGATGACCAATGGTTCCCCTATGTCTAGTTTTAACCCTCCATACTCTGGTCAGCTAGCGGTCAGCATCCAGGACACTAATGGCCAGTGGGAGGAAGGTAGGTACAACACACAGACACACACACAAAAGCATTCTCACACATTCACACACAAACCTCTCTTCGTCTGTTTGTTTAGGATTCATATTATATACGTATATAATCGTATTATATAATCATATGAAAATTACGACCTCATCGGGATACGTTTCGGGAAACCAAGAAAATCCAGGAAAAATAGCAGTAATAAAATACTCGGTTATTAATGTTTCTCTCGTGAATGCTGCAAAAAGATCATTTTATTCAATATCATGAACATTTATAATTAAAATCAAAAGCCTTTGCCAGTAAAAGTTTCTCTAAAGATGTACAGGGTGTATGTTAAAGGTGATGAAACTTCAACTTGACGAAGTTAGTTGCAATGGTGTTTATCAAACGTATAGCATGTTAACAAGCGACATATAATTATTTTTACCTGATTTGTTTTTGTAAAATGATTCCTTTCATTAATTAATATAAAATATTTAGTAAATGATTACTCTATTTACTTCCTGTCTTGAAAAGAATTTTTTTAAATGATAACAATGTTTTACATATTGTCATGATTTTCCCCCAATTATTTCATGAAGGCTACACGAGGGGTCAAGGTTCCAGTTTGTCACCTAGAGGTTACGGTTCTAATGGATCCACGCCCCACTCTAACGGAAGCGGATATAGTTCGGCAGCCATGAACGGGTATCACGCCCCCACCGGTGGTCTTGGGAATATGGGTATTGATATTTCTTATGTTCTTTTTCATCAAAGCTTCAAAATTTACGAGAGTTTGTACAACAAATCTTTTTAAGAAAGACCAACGTAAATCATAGAGAAAAACATTCCTCAATTCCATGGGATCATTTTATTGTTAAATTGTGAACCCTCAATTAGAGTTGAGCTAAAATCAGGTATCCATATTCCAAATAATCCTATATACATACAAGGGAAAGAAATCTATCTTCTTTCTAATCAGCAGGGCCTTTTTAGAAGTTTTAATGCATTTTTATGTTATGTGAATTTATTTTTTGAATTTTGAATACATCATAACATTATCCTCTTAGGACTAGCGTTTTCACCATTATATGGAGTCAAAATTTTTATAAGTGACTTAGTTGAGCGTTGTGGCCTATATGTCTCTTGCTAGATTGTTTTCTAACTATCTATAATAGTGATGAAACATCATCGTATTGAAGAATAAATTCAAAACCCCTAACACTGTTGGTTTTATTCGTTACAGGTATGAGCAGCCTAGTAACCTCACCTTTTTCTAGTGTGAATCCTTTTGCGCTTCCAACGTGTAACGGACAGACATACGGTAGTTCCATCATATCGCCTGCAAAATGAATCAAAACGAATGTAACTGACGGATTTCAGTGGTTAATAGCTCATTTATGTACGATATTAGAAAGAAAATCCAGTGTCATGTAGGGCTAGCGCTGGAGTTACAGAGAGAGAGAGAGAGAGCGGGACCCAAAGTGACCGGGGCGTATTGTTCTTGCCACCGCGCCTTATATTGTTCACTTGCTCACGTGACTGTAAAGTGTACACATCCATCCTGATATTCAAAATTTCAAATGTCATCATTCACAGCAGTTTCAGTGTGCATTAAAGCATTATACAAGTGTATCTTCTATAAACATGATTAAGCTGTTCATATACGAGAAGCCTTGACATATTTGCTAGAATAATACTCAGTCTCTATATAAGGTTTCTTTAGCTCAATATTGTGGTTATCAGTATATAAATCGTTATCTTTGTTTTACACACAATGTTAAAAGTTTTGTTTGATTTGTTTACAAGTAACTATGTTGACGGTAGTCTTAAATATTCTTTACTTATATACATGTATATCTAGCGTTGGTTCTGCTGCCTTTTACGGATTAGATTTTTTATTGTAAAAAAAACATATTGAAAAATGATGTATTTCATAAAATTACTATAATTCAAGTAGGATAGAGAGACAGATTTATTATCATATTGACTAAATGGTCTAATTAGAATTTATTTTTTACAACCTTTGATTTAATTTTATCTCTCTGATGAATAAACTTTTTTATCCATCGCTATTATTTTCAATTCTTTTTTTTTTTCGTTTAAATATTGATATTTCCAATCCTCTTCTACTCAATATCTCCTGTTCTCAGAAAAAATAGCTTTTTGATTTATTGTAATTAGTTTTGTCTAGTCATAATTTATTATTGTGTATTTTTTAATTTTTTTTTTGACGCTTTATACAGATATCTAGTCAATTTTTCAAAGTTTAGTGCCAATTTCTTTTCATGCTCTAGTTTCTAGTCATATGGGTATAAGCAATATTTTATTACAAGTTTTATTACAATTTTTTCAGTAATTTTACAACCTAGATTTCCTTTTCAAAGATTTCTTTCTTGGTTGTAGTGTCGTAAACACCGTCTTTTTAGAAGACCGATTCAATTATTTCTGTATGATGTCCATCTCTTCTATGTTGGGGTTTTCCCTTCTAATAATAACATGTTGAGGGTCTTTTTTGTTATTTTTATACCTCTCCATATTTGTTGTCATTATACATATATACTTTTTTTTCAAACATGTGATGAATGTCACATCAAAGAACCAATAATAAAATTTTTGAAATATTTCTTTCGTTTTTTATCTTTCATTCTGTACTTGAACCCCCGTTAATGGGTTTCTTTGCATTGCCTCAGATTTAAATGTTTTTAATTCTGCAACTGTAAGGAAAAAATATTACCACTGAAGAGAATCCACACAAAACTGAATTATCACAGAGCTACAAACTGAGTATTTGAATGACATCAACTGATCATGCAGGAAATCACTTGATCATGATAGAAATTGCAATTACATTTCATCGACAAACAAGTTTATTACTTTCAAATAAAAAATAAATTCAACTAAATGTTCCTTCTAAATTGATGATACAATTTATAACAATTAAATAAAAAGTAATAATTGTCATAAACAGTTATTCTTTTGCTGCTGGTGAATTTCAAACGAAATGATCATGCAATATTTCCTTTCCTGGCCCAGTGGTTCTTGAAAAGAAGATTTATAAAGATTTTTCTTATATATTCTAATTTTTCTCATTGTGATAACTCTTTGAAAGTTAGCGAAGAAGATTTTTAAATATTTTTCCTATATATTCCTATGTAAAATAATTTTTCTACCCCCCGGAACAAATGTAACATGTTAGGATACCACAGGTCATTTTTCCTGGCCCATTGGTTCTTGAGAAGAAGATTTTTAAAGATTTTTCCTATATATTCCTATGTAAAACTTTGATCGGCCATTTTGGCCCCGCCCTACCCCCGGGTTCATGGAACAAATTTGAATCTACACTACCTAGGATGATTCTACACGAGCATCTTTTCTGGCCCAGTGGTTCTTGAGGAAGATTTTTTAAAAATGCCAATAATTTTTCTCTAAATCATCTTGGAAAAGGGTGTGGCCCTTCGAACAAACTTGAATCTTTCTCTTTGTCTGAAAAGCTAACGGACGACAACAAATACGACAAATTTTGTAAATCTTGTGCGGCTAAAAAGTAATAATTGTCATAAACAGTTATTCTTTTGCTGTTGGTGAATTTCAAACGAAATGATCATGCAATATATCCATTTCTAATTTTTCTCACTGTGATAACTCTTTGAAAGTTAGCAATGACTATTGAAATTGGGTCTGAAGCTAAGGAGACCAAATACGCATGTAATTCTTGTGCGGCTGCCTTTGTGTAATTTGAAAATTCTATGTAATATAATTCTATGTTTGCATTTTTAAAGTCTAAATCTACAATTTTATTTCACAATGAAATGGAAATATAAGGAATCACTGTCTAGTTTGTAGAGTATGCCAGGGACATCAACAATAGTGGGAAAAATGGGATAATTTATGCATAACGGGCTTCGCCCGTTATGCAAATTATCCCATGCTTCCCACTTTTGTTGATGCCCTGGCATACTCTACTAACTAGACAGTGATTCTTTAAATTTCTAATCAAATTAGGGAAGACATTTTGTAAAAGACTTCACTGAATCCCTTTAAGCGTAACAGCTCTGGATTTTTTTATGGGGTTGAACGCCGATCTAGGGAGTGAAAGGGTATAAGCAAGACCAGCAACTTTTAAGTCCGCGAAAGAAATTTTCTTTTAAATTCGAAATCGAAAACAATGAATAAATCAAGCACGTTCACCGCCTTCAAATTTTTCATTCATATTTTACATAAATGTATATATTTCTTGAAACAAGACTTTATGTTCCAACAGTTTTTTGTCGTTGACTTTATCCAGGGCCTTTTTTGGAATGGATGAAAATATGTCTTTCAATTTTGAACCTTTGACCTAGAAGTTTGACCTTCTTATTTAAAACGTTAAATTTGGTCATAAGTTTTTTACAGCTAGTTCTACGACTTTCAACTGTCACAGGTTTATTTCTTTTGTGAAGGCCTTTCCTTCGTTTAAACTTTACCAAAACTTTTGAACAGTAAGAGCAATATGTTTTTTGTATTTCAAGCATGTATTTCTTTCTTTAAAGACATTTCCTTGGATACCAAAAGTTTTAAGTCTCCGACTTTGATCTTGCCATATCATTCCTTTCAAAAATTTATTGGTGACTTCTCACTCAATTTTTAAAGCTATGAGCTAAAGCTTTCATTTTTCACAGGAGTAATCCTTGTGAGCAAGACCTTTTTTGGGTACCAACATTTTTGACCTTGAAGTCCAACTTGCATTTGAAAAGCTTTCACTTGAGTAACACGGCGCATAACGTATGCACAGGCAAAACTTATTTTTAATCATTCGTAATCAAAGATTCGGAGTGTATTATTATAATTTTTGCACTGTCCGTCCGTCTGTTTGTCCGGAAAAAACTTTAACCATACCCGTAACTTTAAACTGAATGGAGCATTGGTTTTCACATTTTACACGTTTACCACTTGTGACAAACCGTCACGTAGCTCAGTCGGTAGAGCGCTCGCTCCGTGATCGGAAGGTCGTGTTCAATCTCGGCTGCGACTGCCCTAAGTCGATAAAAAAGAAGCCTATGCACAACACCTCGCTCACCTAAGTAACTTTCGCCATGATGGAACTTTGATTCCCTATCGTGGCACCGCCCTACCCCGGGGGTCAGGATTTTAACAATTTAAAATCAATCTACACTTCCACAGGATGCTTCCACATGAGTTTTAGCTTTTCTGGCACAGTGGTTCTTGAGATGAAGATCTTTCCTACATGTTTCAATGTAAAAGTTGGTTTCCACATAAGTAAGCTTTTCTGGCCAAGTAGTTCTTGAAAAAAAATTTTAATGACCCAACCCTATTTTTGTCTTTTCTTGTTATTTCTACCTGGAAGGAGACTTGGCCCTTCATCTTCATAATTAAAGTTTCCTTTGCCCAATTATACTTTATACCTAGTTTGGTCAAAATTGACCCAGTGGTTCTAGAGAAGAAGTTGAAAATGTGAAAAGTTACAGACGGACGACGGACAAAAAGGTGATCAGAAAAGCTCACTTGAGGTTTCAGCTCAGGTGAGCTAAACATGAGTAGCATATGCTCCTTCGCCATGCGCTCGGCACTTTTAGGTGAAAGATGCGGATCCTTCGGATGAGACCTTAAAAACCGAGACCCCTTGTCGCAGTAGGTGCTGGCACGATAAAGATCCCTCACTGCTCAATGGTTCCGAGTGCCGAGTAAATTAAAGGTCAAAATTTGAAGCCCTTCACCTGTATATGGTGACATATACAGGTGTGTGCATTCCTTAGTGTGAAAAATTCTGGAATGGGACGTAAAACAACATACAATCAACCAACCCATGTGACTATAGACCTCTCTTTGGGTAGTAACAACCCATGTGACTATAGACCTCTCTTTGGGTAGTAACAACCCATGTGACTATAGACCTCTCTTTGGGTTTTGATCTCGTGACATTGGAGTTTGACCAACAGGAGCAAAAATTTTCCAAATTTTAACCCGAACTTCACATATCTTTTATTTTTTTGCTCTACTTTCAGTTTGTAATTTATATAATATTATTTAAGTGTTTATTATTTCAAAATCTTTTTTTTTTTAATAAGGAGTAAAAAGATTAAAACATTCACCATTCTTTGTACAAGAAGACAACATTGTGACGTAGGCTGATCTTTGTGACGTATGACACACTGGGTGCCCCTAAAACTGAACTCCATACCACTTTGACCTTGACATTCGCAATAATTAATCAAATGATTTATCCATGCTCAGCAGTGTCGCAGGCAATAGAATTCCAATCTTTCAAATATTGACAGTCCTTGATTAAATAAAGCTGATCGATTTGAGTTTCTAGGAGGCACTGCACAAAAAAGTAAAGTGTTTGAGAGAACTGTGAAGCATAGAATAGAATGGAGTACATGTATATATGTGTAAATTTAGTCAACACTTTCTTTTATAAACATGACTTTGATAACTTTGTCTTTACATTTGGAACAGTAAAAGACCAGGAAAAAGAGAGGTGTTGTTCTTGATACATGGACTGCCTTTCATAACAATGCAATATCAGTGCACATTACGGAGTTTGAATGGTCCTTGGAAAAGTTACAGCATTCTCAATGCGGATCAAACTGTACGACGAATTCAATTCTACTAATGAAGAAACTACCCTGGTTGTTATAGAATATAGATATACAGTAAAACTCGGTTATAACGAAGTCAATGGGACCTGTGAAATTACTTCGCTATATCCGTTATTCGTTATAACCGTAGAAGAAAGTCACTAAATTTATATTTCTGGGGATCCAAGAAGACTTCGCTATATTCGTAAATTCGCAATATCCGTGTTCGTACTAAACGAGTTTTGCTGTATATGGAAGTATCCCACCCCCATTTATATTGAATTACCTTGTTAATTCATATTCGAACTTTTTAAAAATATGAAAATGAAATGAGATAATAAAATGAAAATATCAAAATCCTTGTATACTAATAACTCGAATATTTGATAAAACAATCAAAATCTTTTTTTTTCAAATATGCGTCATCCTATACTCTCATGTCAAGATTTGCGTCGATGTTTTGAATACTAAAATTGG